ATCAAAATTTAATAGTGATCATTTGGTGTCCTACTCACATAGGTGTGGAAGGGTCTCACAGTGTCATTAGTCACACACACCGTTGAGTAAAATGGTTATAATTTATTTGTGATATATGGGATAAAGGTGAACTAGTTAAATTTCACGTACATTGCGGTGGAAAATGTACATGCCTTAATTTCCATTATCTTTACACGATACCCCTAGGTTTGGCTGTGAGCAGGAAAGGAAATAGTGAACATTGTGAAAATGGTTGATTTGATGGGGCATAGATTGAATAATGGGATTTACTATGAAACTATTTATTTATTTCACAAGGATGTCACAATTACTCCTAGCCATTATATTCAAATTGGATAGCTGGGGTGGGTTACAAAGTTTAAAATATTTGTTTTTGGACTTTGACAGTTGTACAACCAGCTTTGTTTTATAGGGTGGAATGTTGGGTGGTCAAAAAACATCTATAGGATGAGTGTACCTAATATGAGGATGTTAAGATGGATGAGTGGTAAGGCAAGAAGGGATAAAATTTAAATGAGTGCACTAAGTAAAACTTAAGTATGGATGGATGAGTGGTAAGGCAAGAAAGGATAAAATTTAAAACGAGTGCACTAAGTAAAACTTAAGTGTGGCTTCAATAGGCGAGAGAAAATTGACTTAGGTGGCCTAACTATATACAATGTTGACCCAATACTGCACTTGTTAGGAGGTGGATGTAGGTTCAAGTGGAAGGCTCAAAAAGGGCAAAATGTAGGCTCAAAAGGACATGGTTAGAAGTAGTGAGAAAAAATATGATGACTTTTGGCCTCAATAAAAGCATGGTTCTTAAAAGAGCAAAATGACAGACCATGATTTGTATAGACGATCCCAAATAGATGATAAAAGGCTTTGATGATGATTATGAGTTTAGACAATAATGCTCACAACTATCTGATTCGAAATCTGACAGACAAGAATGATTGTGACCTCTTTGTACTAAAAATAAATGGTCTCTTTATACACTTTTTTTTAAATAATCAAATTTCATGTATATTGTGGCGGCTGACGTACATGCCTCAATTTCCATTATCTTTATTCAATACTCCAAGTTTGACATTGAAGAGGATATACTAAATATTTTTAAAAATGTTGATTTTTGAAAATGTTGATTTTTGAAAATATAATTCTCAGATTCAAGAGGCTACATTTTTTTTTCTTAAGGCTTGTAGAGAAAGACGGATGGTACAATCCCGAAACTATCCACTTCTCAATTAGTGTGACAATGCCACACTAGCCCAAGACTCACAAGCAAATAGAAAGAAGAAGAACCAAGATGAAGTGGAAGAAAAACTTCATAAAAAAAACATGAGGTACACAAAAGCATTTCAATCCCAACACACAAGACTAACCTTAACACATGTGACCCAATGTTCTCACCATATACCTCTCTTTAAATAGGGGTTATATAACCATATTTCCTACAATAACTACCCAGTTGTAATTGTAACTACTAACCACCTAGTAGTTTTACAATTTCCTACCACACAAACTTACAAGTGGAATGGTTACTACATCGCTCATAATAAAATAACATAAAAACTAATATATTTTCTAGAAAATACAATTTAATAATTCTAACACTCCCACTTAAAGTTATTTTCTAGAAAGGTGATCATGCATACACAATCATGTCCATCATTTCCCAATATTGAAAATCCGGCCATTTAGCAGGCCACCAAAGATATTCTCAAATTCCACTAAGTAGGGTTGCATAGCCCACCTTGAAAATACGTAACATTGGGAATATACTCACTCTTTAACCCATGAATGATAAGTAACTTTAATCATGCCTCCGAATAGTTCTTCTAGATCAACAAGAGATCTCCCAACAAAGATTCTAGATCTTTAAGAATAATTGAGAAATAGAAAGACCACCTTGAATTGAGTTCCCAACTCAATATTAAAACCATTAGACCTTACACCGAATCCATCTTCAAAAAGACAATTGATCTTCTTCACCAAGGGAGTCAAAACCACATAACCACCACTCATGTGGCTCTGATACCATGTAGAGAAAGACGGATGCCACAATCCCAAAACTATCTGCTTCTCAATTAGTATGACAATGCCACACTAGCCCAAGACTTACAAACAAATAGAAAGAAGAAGAAAAACTAAGATGAAGTGGAAGAAAAACTTCATAAAAAAAAATGTGGGATACACAAAGGCATTACAATCTCAACACACAAAAATAATGTTAACACATGTGACCCAATTTTCTGACCATATACCTCTCTTTAAATAGGGGTTTTTACAACCATATTTCCTACAGTAACTACCCACTTATAACTATAACTACTAGCAACCTAGTAGCTTTCACTTGTAACTATAACTACTAACCACCTAGTAGTTTTACAACTTCCTACTACATGAACTTATAAGTGTAACCTTACTGCATCACTCTTGATAAAATAACATAAAAACTAATATACTTTCTAGAAAATGCAATTTAACAATTTTCACTAGACCGAGGCCCTATTTTAATCTTTTCCTTTCAATAATTAGTCAAATTTCCATGTCTACCTCATCTCCTCTAGAAAGAATCCAAAAAAAAGAAAAGTACATTTGCTTAATGTTCGACAGTTCGAGTAATCAAATTATGCGTGTCCCATCAAAATATTAGACGTAGAATTTTGCTTTTTCAAATAAATTAGGGATTGTATTTTATATTATGAGACCATATATCTATGTTACAAAGTCACAAGTGCTATTAGCCATTAAATGTCAAATTGGATGGCTCTACAAAATTCAATTTTTTTTTTTTTTAAAACCTAACTGATAAAGTGACTGTAACCTAAGTAAATGTTCGCTTTACATACTTTTCTAATAAATTATGTGGTGCCTGAGCCCAAAGAAAATTGTGGTGCCTAAAATGGGCCATGAAAAGAATATCAAGAAAAAAGTATTTTCACGATAGTCACTTATCCATGACTCTAAAATTTTACAATAGTAATTGCATGGCAAATGCCAGAACAATCCTTCATGTAACAAGGATAATCACTATAACATTATACATATATGACACTAGAATAATCACTCTCAAATCAAGCACCATATTTTAAATATGGAAAAAGTTTATTATGTTTCGATGCTGAAAACCTCAAATCTAATCATCTTGACTTTGAGATACATGCACTTAAAAAAAGAAATGAACTTTAATTTTTGAAAATAGTACATCATGTAATGTATTATCTAAACCGTCAATTTTAAATATTCTCAAGTGTTCATAGATGTGCTTGATCTATACTATTTTTTAAGCTTTAAATTTTATAATTAGATATTAAAATAAAATTTCAGGTCATCACAAAGACTTTAAATGTTAAAACGACATCTTTCGATACTATTTGAAGGTGCGTCTTAGTTTGATCATTTAGGCCTCAGCCTTATACAAACCATACCCTTCCTTTAAATATTCCTCCTAAATGTCCAACTATACTTAAATCGACAAATAATGCAACTGTGGTATTAGGTCTTAGAAGCCAATGCAAACATTACTATGCCCACTTCTCCCTAAACTGATGGGAGTGTCTAAAAGTGTAAGTGAAGATCAAACCTCCATTCATTCTCCTTATCACATACCTCTCAACCAAAATGTATAATGCAAATGTCCATTCCCCACCATTGCCACAATGAAACACTCTTTCCACAATCTCATCCTTGTCTACTCTAATGGCTTCTGTATCCTGATCCCATCTCATCTTCTCCATAATTGCTATGCTCAATCCAATACCTGTTAGCCCTCCTTGCACACTCTTCTTTTCCTTTGTCTCGAACCACATCATGCTATTCGCGTCGTCTCGCCTTCCAGTGGTCGGCTCCGATCCCATCAATAGCCCTTCTTCTCTTCTCACAGTCGTATTGACGGTCACTGTTTCATTTCCATGCCCTCGACAACTATGAATCTCCTCCCACTGCTGCTCTAAACTCATCTTATAGTACACACTCTCCTTCAATTGTTGTTTTGGATTTTCAAGCCCTCCTTTTTCCTTAATGAAAATGAAAGGACAATACCACACTCCTACAATAACACTTGATGAGCATTTCTGTGAGACTGGGAAGTTCAATGGTGGAAGCTGGGCTCGAAGAGCAACATTCAAGCCTAGGGCATCACCCAGATTCAAACTTTTTGATGTTAAAAAACTAACCGACCACCCTTCCCTGCGTAGAAATAACGGGGGATAGCCATCCGAAGCCACAGATTTGCCTGTGAAATACATGCAATGTTATCCCTTGGGAATGACTTGTATATGTTGATAGATGTTATTGGGATCATATGGGCTCGAGTTCTTGTCTTTCACATATCTGCAACAAAAACAACAAGTGCCCTCCTCTTCCACCCGAGAGCAAGTACATACCAACCTGCCGAATTTGAATCATAGTTTCAGGTCCCCTCGGATTAAAATCTCTTAAGAAAAACAAAACAGGGGACATGGGTAACTTGAAAGCAAAATGCGCAACTACAGGAAAATTGAAGACAAGATCGATAAAAGACTGAAAGCAAAGGATGAATATAACGATCAAGTTTAAATGTTCAAGAATGCCCAAAGGAAAAGAGAAAAGGAAAGCAAATTCATTTCACAATTGGAACTATATCAAAATGATCTTGTGCACTGGTGTCAAGTTGGAAAAGGTCAGTGTGAGGCTTACCCGGGGTGTTTGCCACATACTGTAACTACATAGTAGATATTAGAAGACAAGGGCTGACCGAGAACCGGGATGAAATATGCCTCATGGACATCAGTGATTATGCCGTCTCCAGTACTATGCGTGTAAGTAACTCGAAGGGATTTGTTCTGTGGAAATTGTGGCCCCCTAACACTCTTATCTCGACGAATTCCCCAACAACTGGAACTCAAATCACCATCGCTATCTTCTTGAATGAGAAGGTGGCCTGAAAAAGGACCTTCTGGTGGGTGGAGAGATTGCTCAATGTGAATTCCGGCTGTGCCATTATTCTCAGCGGCCAACAAGAAGAGAGAAAGTGGTTTTGTGGAATACATGGTGAAGCGTAAATGAGGTGATTGTAGTTCTCTTCTTCTTATACTTCTTCAAACCTAAGATACAAGCCAAAAATCCATGGTTAATTGTCATTACACAATTGAATTCATCGACATTACGATGAGTTGCCGAGAAACTTCGTTTAGTTTCACAACATGACAATAGCGTGGCAATTTCTAGGTTGATAGAGCCAACCATTAAACCATGACCTTTGTTTTCTTGTTTTTTGGGTGAATGCACTTAAACAGTGACTAAAAACAAACCTCAATAAAATCACTAAAAACAAATAAAGAGCACACCCGAGTAACCTGCATTTGCCACCGCAGCAAGCCTGAGTCTCCTCGAGTCCGGTGTTCAACTCACGGATCTTAAAAAAAAAAAAAAAAAATTGTTATATAAAATTCGAAAAGCGAAAATTATTTGTAATATATTTTTTATTATTTTTATTATAGGTAGAATCTCAACCGTCAAATCTTCATCGAGTGGTTCAAAATACATATTATTATTTTAATTTTAATTGTTTTTCTATAAATTCGATTAATATGAAATTTTGGGTGCATATACCTAACACTATTGCCCACCATATAAAAATATAAAAACATTATTTTCAATAATTTAAAATAACCAAATCACCCTCAACATTTTTCAGGGGTATTTTGGTCATTTTATATTTTAGAAAATAGTTTTTATATATTTTTAAATTGTGAACCCAATTTTTTAGTACACAGATCTAAAATTTCATTGTGATCTGATTTCTAGAAAAATACCAAATTTGATATAGTGATATGCATTTTGAACCACATGATGAAGATATGATGAGTGGGATTCCACTTATATTACTATTCATTATTGCTACCCAGCTATTATCAGCTTTTATCTTTTATATTATTTTGACAATTATGAGAAAGTGTTTTGGCCATGAATACATATTTTTTACATTTTTTTTTATTTTTGAATTAGTACACCTTGACAAATTAATTTTGAAAAAATCCATTTTTATACTATTTTTTTAATCTCATTTAGATGTGTTTTGTTTAATTTTATATAGTTTTCTATTTTTTGGGAATTTTTTATATTTTTTTATTTTTTTAACAATATTGTGTTTAGTCCAACTCAAGCTTAGTTACTTGGACACGGCTGAGTAATCGGCTTGGGCAAGTCAAGTACTCTACTGGAGTCGATCTTTCCACGTTGTGGTTTCCAATCCTGACACTACGTGACACCTTTTAAACAAGCTAACTCTTTAATCTATTTGAAGAAAGGGTAGGGGTTGTTTTCCCTCGATTACCCAAAATTTATTTTTTGAAAAATTAGTGTTTTACTAGATTGGTAAAAAATGGAATCCCATTTGGGCCATCAAATTTTAGTAAAACAACAAAAGCCACATTATGTGGGAGCCTCAAAATGGGAAATATTGTTTTCATTTTTAAGAAAGCCAACTCAATGTATGAGGTGTAACATTAATCGTGGTGACTAGGTCAAATAGTCCTAAAAAGTAGGGACCTACTCAACCTAATCTGAAATAACCCTAGGTAGTCGCCAGACTAGGGACCTCCCTATATAGGAATAAAACTAATCTTAATAATTTCCAACCCACCCAGATACAAAATTAATGGGAAAGATAAGAGGCTGTTTGAATATACTAGTTATCACTAATATTTTACTATTTCAATCAAATTAATACTGAAAATAAATTATTTTAGTTATTTGGTAGTGTCTATCATAGAGTTCTTTCAGATAGATTTATAGCCAGTTTGACGTAAAAGTAACTTTTTGAAAAGCCTTTTCACTTGATTCAAAATAATTAACTGAAAGTCACATATTTTTTGCCAAGAATGACTACAAATAGTATAAAATCACCGAAAAAAGTTATCCAATATATAATGTTATACATAATCCATTGGTGAGTTAGCAAACTGAATAATTTGTACGCCACCCAAGAACATGTGCTGCTTAGAAAAAAGTAGTAAATTAGTAAAAATTTGGCCTTGGGAATAATGAAAGGGAAAATTTATACATATAATAGAGTGGCTATTCAAGAGAAAAGTCATCAGAAATTTTGAATTGATTCAAAGAGCTATGATCTTTTCCGTCCGTTGTTTTATCTGCATCCCCCATAAACTAGCCGTTTGATCTTAATGGTCCGCTGAGATGCCCCAATCACAATGTCAGACCCATACACTGTTTTATTTTAAATTTGTTTTTATAAAACATTTTGACACCAAAATTGAGGTGTCATCTCCTTTTTCAAAATCGCATCTCTAAAAAATATTAAAAAAATTTATTTATGATAGAATAAGATGACCGAAATACCCCTAAAACTTTCTGGGGTATTTTGGTTATTTTACTTTTATGAACATATTTTAAAATATGTTTTTATGTGTGTCCTGTTGAGATGATGACATATATTAAATTTCACCTTCGTATGATTAGTAGAAAAAAATTAAAAATAAAATACTCTAAGAAGCCAAATCTAGACCATACGATCAGTAGCTAACTTGTGACATTATGTTTGAAGCCCATCTCAACCATTCATTCAGATTGGCCAGCAGAGAGATTGGGGATGTTAGAAAAATATATATGGGTGGAAAAATATAGTAAGTTTTCCAAAAAATGAATGGCACATCGAAGGGTGGGATAAAAACATGAAGATCTCTCTCTAACTATGTAACATACAAGAGCACCCTTAATTGTGCTCCGGACGAAATGTAGTCGGACTTTCAAGGGCATTAAAGATAGTCTAGAGAAGCCATAGAGTGGGCAATGAGTGATGGAGGCCCGGCCCTGAAAAGTTTAGAGTTAGGGGCATGACATGGCTGGCTATAAAAATACTAGGTAAGGTCAGAGCCACGACAAGGCAGGCCTAGCCTTGCCAAATTAGGAGGGTTGGCCAGGGCCTATTCAGCTCCGGTGCTGTTGGGCCTGGCCCGTGCCCAGACCTGTTGCTAGCCTGGCTGTAGCTAAACATCGTTAGGGCTTTGTTGGTTTAGAACAACTAATTGAAAAAATGTATTTTAGTCGTTGTATTATCCCTTTTATCCAACCGTTCATTTTTTAATGGAGGGCTAAGAATGTCCCAATCACAATGTCACGTCCCTATACTGTTTTATTTTTAATTTTTTTCTATAAACTTTTTTGACACCAAATTTTGGACGTCCATTCCTCTATGAAACTCGCACTAGCAAAAAATATAAAAAAATATTGTCAATAAAATAAAATGATCAAAATACCCCTAAAATTATCATGGGATATTTTGGTCATTAATTTTTATCGAAAAATTATTGTTAATATTTTTTATAGGTGTGCCCCAATGAGAAGATGACATGTACCAAATTTCATATTCAGAAAATTTGTATTAAAAAAACTAAAAATAAAATATTTTGAGACGTCGGATCTAAGATCAAACGGTGAGTGGTTCTCTTGATAAAAAATGGATGGCTGGATGGTAGGGGGAGGATAGAACTTTTATGTTGTAGGGGGAACATATAAAGCTTTCCCTTTAGTCAAATATATGTTGTAGGGGAACATAAAAAGCTTTCCCCTTAGCCAAATATTGAATAATTTAGTGACATAATTTGGGGCATAGTGGTGGTCCAGGGGTGGCCCATAATATAATTTGGGACATAGTGGTGGTCCAGGGGTGGCCCATAACATAATTTGGGGCATAGTGGTGGTCCAGGGGTGGCCATAACATAATTTGGGACATTGTCAGATCACTTTAGTTGCCATTTTTAAACTGATTTTGAGCTTTTTAAACTCTAGATCTTGTGGTCTCTCAAATGGACGGTCTCTAGTCATCTTCCAGTAAGACTGATTTGGACTACTCTTTAAAATGCCATTTGCTGTTTTACTGTGGAATTGATCACAAGCCTAGAGATAATATAGAAGTTTTCATATTATTTTTTGAGAAAATAGTCGAACCACCTCAAAGCTGTGCGGTTAGATAAACCAACTTATCAACAAAGTCGTTTTGTAAATTTAAATTATCATCCCACTCAAGTACCTCCACAAATATTTTTTTTTAAGTAAGTGTATGTCCACAAATATTTGATATAAAACATCCTTAACAAGCAAGGTAAAAATATAAATATCCTGCTTGTTCAAAATTTAGGAATCAAAATATATTAAACTAGTTTCAGCATTCTTTTTTGGGTTTCGTAAGTTATCCGGAGTAATATAATTATTAAAATATGCCAGCATTTACGGGTTAATTTTAGGAAAATTATGTCCACGCCACTTTTTAATAAATCTACATTTTTGTTGTGAAAATTTTACATGGAGATCCGGCGCTATTTTTGACAAATTTGTCCTTAGGCCCAATATTAAAAATATCAGAGTGGTCTAATTTTATATTTTTAGTTTTAGGACCCATAGGTCTCTGATTTTTTGCCCAAATATATCGTAGTCAAGTAGTCCTCCAGACCTCTGACTTTTGGACAAATATATGG